TCATCATCAAACGAAAAAAGTAATGATAATGATGAACCATTAAAAAAAAAGAAAAAAGTTGAACGTCAATATGTTAAAGGTAGCGAATCATCCCAAAATCATGTATTATATGTTTTTGACCATTTTATTTCAAAATCACCAGCCAAAAAAATTATAATTGTAGCCCATAGTTTTGGTGGTGTAAACACATGTCATCTTTTAGATAATAGAGCAGAAAAAATTGAAAACCGTTTAGCAGGGATTGCTCTAACCGATAGTGTTCATTCAATTTCAAGTAAATCAAATCAATTTACCAAATCTTTCTTTGGAAATCAAGATAAAACTATAAACTTTATTCGTAGTGAAGAAGAGGTTGGGACTGATTTGGGTTTCTCAAAACCACAAGGTTGTAGAATAGCTTCTGCTGGTCACACTATTCACGAATTTACTTCAGCTTTTTGTAAAGTTCCTTTATTTAATTTTATTTTGAAAATTATTAAATAAACTAAATTTTTTAATAAACCCAACTTTTTTTTTAATTTTTTTTTTTTAATTTTTTTTTTTTAATTTTTTTTCATTTTTTTAATTTTTAATCTTTAATAAAAAAAAATAGTTAAAATATATAAATGGAAGAGTTTCAATCAAAAGCATTTGAGGTTGATGGGGAAATTGAACCAGATGATAATGAACCATTAACAGGTGAGGAGTATTTAAAAAGGGTTAGATGGCAAGCTAATCGATGTCCTTCAGTTGTTGTAGCCACAAATATAGATTATAGTAAATTAAAAATTAAATCACCTTCAAAAAATTATTTTACATTACCACCATCCATCACAAAATGTAATAAAGAATTTTTACCAACCGAAAAATGGGAAAAAGAATTTTTAAATCATTTTTCAGAATTTAGACAAAAGCTAAAATATATTAAAGAGAATAATAATAATAAAGAAATTAAAATTCAATTACCACATATAAATGATAAAAGATATTGGTATATATTCTGTTTTGGTAATGATAATAAATTAAATGAAGAGGAAGAAGAAGAAAGTATTGATGAAGAAGATGAAGAAGAAATTATTTATGAAAAAGATGAAGAAGGTGAAGAAAGTTTTGATGAAGATACTGATGAAAGTGAAAATATTAATGAAGGAATTAATCAATATGAAAGTGATAGAAAAATAATAAATCATTCTAATAATAATAATAATAATAATAATAATAATAATAATAATAAAAATAATCAAATTAAAAGTAATAAACCAACAATAGAGCTATTATGTAAATTAGATCATGTTTTAACAGTGAAATTGGTAAATTATCATATTGAATGGTTAGAAAAGAGAGAGTTTACCCAAGAGAGATCTTATTGGTTATATATGTTATTATCAAAGTTAGAGAAACCTATTGACTCGGATACATGTTCAAATTTACGTTCTTGTTTAAGAAGATTAGCTCTATTTAGATCAAAGCTCAATAGTTTAAATGATCCAAACTTACCATCAATTAATATTTTATTTACAATAATTGCAAAATATTTTGAACAATTAGAACCAAGTGATACTCTGGCAATATAATAAGAAGCTAATATATTTAAATAAATTTATAAGGTTTTAATCAATATTTATAATTTTTTATAAATTTAATTAAACAATATTTATAAAATAAGCAAGAAATAATGATAACAATATAAAACAAAAACAGAGTATTAAAAAACAATGGTGGTACAAAAACAATAAAAATAATTTATTATAAACATACCACTATTTATTCATAAATATATTTTATTTATGAGTATTTTTTTTGTTTATTTTGATTAACTGCATAAAAACAATTTACAAAAAAAAAAAGTTAAAATTGTAAATATAGAATTAATAACAATTTACAAAAAAAGATATCTTTTTTTGTAAACTGTTAATTCTTTTTTTTTTTTAATTTTAAAATTTAACTTACAAAAAAAAAGTTAAAATTGTAAATATAGATTTAATAACAATTTACAAAAAAAGATATCTTTTTTTGTAAAATGTTAATTCTTTTTTTTTTTTTAATTTTTTATATAAAATTTTTTTTTATAAATAATTTTTTTATAAATAATTTTTTTTTATTTAATTTATTAAATTTTTACCCAACAATATAAATAAAACCAATATAAATATATATTTTTCATTTTTTTTATAAGTAAAATTAGACATTTTGGTCTAAATTTTTATTGTTACTTTTAACTATTTTAAAGAAAAATGAACCCAAAAGTTCTTCATCAGTTGTGCAGAAAAGGCCAAAGTAAGTATTAACATCTTTTATTTTTAGTTCACAAATATTAACATTTTATTTTTTTTATATAGCTACTGTTATTTATGTAATGCTTTAATTTTTTCAATGTATACAAGGATGACATTATATACCTTGTGAATCAAAACTTTGGTTGCCTCCAGAGCTGCAATTTAACAAAATTGTTTTTCTCAATTATCATGGTCTATGATAATACATTTACTTTTAGAGGGTTGATTTTTATAAACTTTTTTAGTCTGATTATTGAAATCACTGCCCACTACAAGCTAGATAAATGTCAAAAATGTTAATGCGGATAGAGTAACCCAAGCAAATTGTATAAGAAAGAGACAATGAATATCATTGTCAATTAATAATTTTGAAAATAAATTTTTATGAAATATTTAATTAAAATAATTTCATTGTTTTTTATTCTCTATTAATAAAAAAAAAAAAAAATTTTAATACTAAAATTAGAAATTTATCTTATTACAAAAGAACTTCATTATCCTCGATTATATAAGTTAGATCCTAAGTCATTTTTTATTAATTTACAAAACTATGGAGCATTGGTTTCCTTAAAAACAGATAATCTTTTAGTACGATTTAAATAATCATTTTGTTGATACCTAAAGTTTCTTCATTATAATCGTGGAAATACTGATAAAAAATATGATCTATAATTTCACTTCAAACTGATGGTCTATTCATATTGTCAATACAACTTGGTGGTAAACTATAACTTGGTCATTGTATTTTGTTTGAAATTTATTCTTTTTCATAAAATTTTTTCATTTTTTTTGTTCTTGAAAAAAAATAAAAATGTTTCCATATTTATCATAATGAATCAATTCAAAGTAAACAGTTTATTTTAGCATCCTCATCGATATTTATTGCTGGTTCTTATAGACAATGTTGTTATGTTAGTGCTTGTTATCAGCAAACTAGATTTATTTCAAGAAATGACCCAGTCAAAATAATAAAAAAAATCATTCAAAATATTGTTTGTGTAATTTTAATTTTGAAAATATAGTGTCTTCAAAATCTAATCATAATTATTCTAAACTTGATTATCAATCAAATATTGTTAAAAAATAAAATTATCTTTTGATGGTGACAGTGGCAAAGAAAATTTAAAAATTAAAATAATAAATAAAACATCAGAATCACTTTCAAATGAAGCATCAAAAATCAACTTGGGAATTCAATTGAATCAGTGTGGTCTCGATAGTTTAGTTATTGTTCAATTAAAGAACTGGATAGATAAACAATTTGGTAGAAATATAATTACAATACAACAATTACAACTCAGTAGTATATCCCAATCACTAGATATTATTATTAAAATTTTTAACTAAAATTATTTTAAATACAGTATTTTAACTGGGTCTGAAAAAAAAATATTATTTTTTATTTTATTTTATTTTATTTTATTTTATATGGATATTATATGTAAATAAAATTGAATGATGATATAATTGTGGGTTGTTTTTATTGATTTTGTAGGCAGAATTGAATTCCCATAGTTTACTATTTAATTTGTACTATTATTAATCTTTTAATATGGCCACACTTTCACAGTTTATAGCTTATTTCTTTTAGTTTCTATTTTTATTTTATTAACTATCCTAAAATTCAAAGAGAAATTATTGATTATACTTTTTTTTTGTTACATCTGATCTAAATATTTAATAAAAAATAAAAAATGTTTAAAATTGTGAAGCGTTAGGTTGGTCTTTTTTATGTATACATAATGTTTATATTAAATTTGTTTTTTAAATGTTTCATTATTATTTATTATTTATAATTTAATATTAAAAATAAAAAAATAAACTAAAAAACTAAAAAAAAGTAAAAAAAGATAAAGAAAAAAATTACATTTTTTATTTCTTAAA